GGGTATCTAAGATAGACCAGTAAAGGGAAAGTACAGTCGGACAGCCCACTCTCAGATTGTAGGCCAGTGACAATTGTTGGAAAGTAATGAGTGTGGGTGTTAGTTGAAGACAAAAACTGGGTATTGCCCTTTGTGACCACAGAGCTATTGACTCTTGCTGTAATTTCACCTGTGAGAAATCACCATAGACAAAGCACCAAGGATCTCCTGGCACTCATTGAGTTATATTGCAACATAAGTGACTGCAGTGAAGAGGGGGAAAACCAAAAAAAAGGAAGCCAGAAATTATCCTTCTTACTTCTAGATTTTTCACACAGTAACATTTTCCTTTGCTAGGAAGCACTATATTTCCCCTTTCAAATAGTAATATTTAAGTCATGTCTCAATAAAAACAACTTGCTGTAATATGGTGCCTTAGATGTAGCAAGTCATCACGAAATATCTTACATGAATGTCATCAAACAAGATTGACATTGAGCCATGTAAACAGATACAAGGACATGGGTCCAAAAGCATGGTCAAAGTGATAGCTTTATAGGAGGCTATTTTAGGAGTAAGAAGGGAGAATGAGACATAATGGCATAGCAAATAAAATCCTGATCTTTGGGCTGAAACATTTAAAGATATGCCCGTCAATGGTGGGCAACTAAAGCAGATAATGTGAAAAGATCAGAATTGGAGGAGTGCAGAGGCCTCAGAGTGCTGGTGCTTGGAGGAAGTTACAGAAATGGGGAGATGCATGTCCAAGAAAGAATTTTAAAATTTTAAATCATGCCATTGGTGGACAGACAGCCAGAATTGATGAGTAAGAAAAGAGTTTTGGATAAGCTCTACTCCTTTTCCTTACTTTTAATAAATATGAGTACAAAATATTTAACCCAAGGAACAATATAAGGCCGTAGGGCCAACATCTGCTTCCCTGAATGCAGAAAATGACATGGTATTGTTTGAATCTCATTAGGCTACACTAAGCTATAACAGAGCTTGACAGTAAATACCATAAAAAGAGCCAGTGTTTTCATTGAATAATTGCTGCCTTTGGATGTCTTTTGTTTGCTTCCAGTTTGTTATGTTTTCCTGTAAATTCTATCAAGCGATAATGAAAATGTGGGACTGTTTTCTTTAAAATAAAACTTGTCCAGTAAGTTTTCTACTTCTTGTGGTACAGATATAAAGTGCTGAGGAGTGGGCCACATATTTACCTCAAATATTTATGGCAAATATTAGATACGTAATAGGTCCAACATCTTCTGAAAAGATGAGCTCGCATTTTGAATGAAAAGTCTTTGCTAAAAAGTTCTGAAAAAAATGTCTACAGTGGCAAAATGAGCATGTATTCCCTTTTCTGGTGTTTAGAGTCTTCCAATATGCTTGTAGTACTGACAATCAATCATACGTATGTGTACATCCCAGTAGAATAGAAGTTTAGAACCCCTGCAGTGTGGGAGCAGGCCAATTGGCCCATCGTGTCCACACCGATCCTCCGAAGAGCATCCCATCCCTGACCCATCCCATCCCTGTAGCCCTGCAATTCCCATGAACATCCCTGGATACTATGGGCAATTTAGCATGGCTGATCCATCTAACACGCGCATCTTTGGACTGTGGGAGGAAACCCACGCAGACATGAGGAGAATGTGCAAACTCCACACAGACAGTTATCCAGACGTGGAATCGAATCTGGATCCCTGAAGCTGCAGGGCAGCAGTGCTAACTATCCACTGAGCCATCATGCCACAATTAAATGCAACACAATAGTTTGGAACTAACTCATAGCCCAAGTATTATTTCTTTCAAACTGGCCTCAAAAGACCATTAAGGCCTATTGAACTTGTGACCCTAAAATTGGAATGCTGCACTTAGCACTATGCTAACAGCTGACAGTATTCTGCCCTTGTCTGATGAATGAAGTTTGGCTCAGAATCAGTTGTCAGCCTGCTTTGTGAGAGGCTCATTTAAGTATGCAGATCAGTATTCACTGGTGTCTGTAAGGCCCTGATGCAGGTGAAAATTTCCCCTTGTATGTCATGTATACTAAAAGCAGGGCAGATCCAACATATCCAATTATTGACCCCTCAGTCATCAATAGAATTTTGTATGGGGTGATCAACAATGCTATCATGCAGCACATGCTAGCAATTATCTCTTAATTGATTCCCCGCTTGGGTTCTGCCAGGACCACTCAGCTCCTGACCTCAATGCAACATTGATTTAAGCATGGGCCAAAGGGCTGAATTCTAGAGGTGAAGTGAGACGGACTTCCCTTGACATCAGGCTGCACTTGTGGCATCAACGAGCATTAGCAAAACTAAAATCAATGGGAATCAGGGAAAACTCTGCTGGTTGGAGTAATACCTTGAAAGATGTTGGTGATTGCTGGAGGTCAGTTATCTCAGCTCCAGGATGTCTCCGCAAGAGTTCCTCAGGATAGTATGCTAGGCTCAACCATTTTCAGCTCATTCACTGATAAATCCCTCCATCATAAAATCAGATGTAGGGATGTTTACTGATAATTGTGTAATGTTCAGCACCATTCAGGACTCCTCAGATACTGAAGCAGTCCACGTTCAAGTACTGTAAGACATGGGCAATATCCTAGTTTAGGCTGTCAAGTGGTAGGCAATTTCCACACCACATAAATGCAAGGCAATGATCACCTCCAACAAAAGATAATCTACCCAATGCCCTTTGACATTCAGTGGCACTGAAATTCCCCATAATGAGCATCCCAGGGGTTACCATAGAACGGAAACTGAACTGGGCAAGACATATAAATATTGTGGCACAAGAGCAGATCAGATGCTAGAAATCCTGCAGTGAGTAACTCACCTTCTAACTTGCCTGTCTAACATCTACAATCCTAAAGTCAGAAGTATGATGGAATACTCCACACTTGCTCGGATGAATGAAGCTCCAAAAACACTCAAAAAGCTTGGCACCATCCAGGAAAAAAACAACCTACTTTTCTGGCACTACATCCACAAACATTCACTCCCTCCACCATAGACGCTTAGTAGCGGCAATTTGCACCATTTACAAAATACCCTCTGGAAAGTCACCAAGACTCCTTGAATGGCACCTTCGAAACCCACAACCACTGCCAACTAGAAGGCCAAGGGCATTAAGTACCTGTAGCACTGCCACCTGCAAGTTCCTCTCCAAGTCATTCACCAACCTGACTTGGAATAATATTGCCATTCCTTCACTGTCACTGGGTCAAATTCCTGGAATTCCTTCCCTAAAGGCAATGCGTGTCTACCCACAACACATGGACTACAGCAGTTTAAGAAAGTAGTTCACCACCACCTTCAAGGGCAACTAATGATGGGCAATATATGCTGGCCTAGCTAGTAACACCCATACAGCACTGAATGTGTAAACAAAATGTATTGGAGAGGAATGAAAGAGTTACTAAATCCAATGTGTGTGAACTGAATTAATATCAGAAGTGACAAGGTGATAAATCTAAGATACTGCGCATTTTCCCGCATGCCCTAGTCGCTGGATTAATGCATTCGGATTTGAATTAATTCATTCTGACTTTTTCTTTCATAAAAAATGACAAGTTCCAAAATCCACCATGGCATCAGTCCCAAGATTGCTGGATTTGAAAGAGTGCACCTGTACTCCAGGTTTCTTTGAACCTAGGCACACCCAACTTAGGGATGATGTTCCCCCTCCTCCCAGCAGCTCACTGTTATTTAAAATGCATTCACAAGATGTGGGTGTCACTGGCTATAGCTAGCATTCATTACTCATCCCTAATTGCCCAGAGGGCAGTTAAGAGTCAATGACATTGCTCCAGGTTTGGAGTCACATATAGACCAGACCAGGTATGGGTTCCAAGCTGTAGAGTTCCTTCCTAAAGGACATTAGTTAGCTAGAATGGATTTATTTTGATAATCAACAATGGTTTGAACATTCATCATGAGATTCTTAATTTCAGATTTTCAGTGAATTCAAAGTCCACCATCTGCTATGGCAGGATTTGAACCCAAGTCCACAAAATATTACCTGGGTCTCTGGATTAATAGTCTAGCTATACTACCACTAGGCCATTGCCTCCCCCGTATCTGAGCAACTAATAATGCAACAAAGGAGCCAGTGGGCTGCTCACTTGTGGAATTGCAAAGAGGCTCAATACAGCTTGGGACCTCCTGCTGACAAATCAGTCAGTTCTGCTTGGCCTGTTATTGCCCACCTATTCTCTAACGGCAGTTAAATTTGATCACATTGCATTATTAGACAGCATGATGTTCCTTTTCTTATAGCGACTGCCTTATGACCTCTGTGTGTAAGATTGCATTATAATCAAATTCAGTGTTTATGAAGAAGATAACTTCTGTGGCAAAGCAATTTTCCACATTCAGCAAATCTTTGTACCAAAATTTCCTGTCTTATTTGTTTGTGTGATCTGGCAGTGCAACAAAAATAATGTGGAGCCCTTTCTTGGAGATCAACAAAGATTTTCCTGAAATAAGAGGCAATTCTGTACCATGATTTCATCTCCTGAGGAACTGCGTTGAAATTAAATCAAATGTTTTGCACCTAGGGCAGCTTACCATCACACCGATCTATGCGTACTAGAAATTGATCCAAGTCACAAAAGTGAGACAGTAACTCCGAATACAAAGCAAGACAAAAATTAGGATAATTAATGACTCTATACCATGAGAGACAAAGCTAAAAGCAGAAGCTGGAATTTGTTTAAAAATCAGAATTTTGAAGCCTAATTTTGCAAGTTCCTTCACTGTCATGGAATCATACTAATTACAGACATGATTCAGCAATACCAAGACCTATCCCTGTTAAGCAATCCCATTTCAAATGATTCCACATGGGTAGGAAATCTTGCAAGATTAATTCTTTGGTGTCAGGCTTGAATATTTGAAATGTATGGAACCACCATTCAAAGTGAGAAAGAAGATGATTCCAAACCAATTCATTTTTCAGTCTTCTATAGGAAACTCATTACCTGATATGCTGCCTATTTTTCTCAGACTGACACTAACGTTATCCTGTCCAATGGATTTGAAAAACTTTCCTATGGATGTACAGACATGTGCAATGCAATTGGAGAGCTGTAAGTAATTGGAATCCATGAGCATGTATACAAGTCAGTAATTGTTATTGCATCTCTACCAACAACACAAATTGCCAAAACCTCAGAATAAACATATATGTTCTTAAATGTGCTATTATCTTATTTTAACATAATGCATATAATCTTCAGTCCCATGTGCAATTGTCCTTGCTTTGTAACATTTCAATTAAAAGCCAATACAGTTGTTTTTCTTCATCTTCATTAGATTACTGGAATGCTTGGCTTACATCTGTCTCCGACCATTTCCATTATATCCTTGACCATACCCAACATCCTGCACATCGTCCATGGTTCATATCCCTGAAAGCACATCTTCACCGGACGAAGATAAAGCTTCAGTAAGCCAGTCTTCATTTCCATCGCTTTACATCTTTTAGCATGCTTCAGCCATCTGTTTCATAAAATGCCTTTTGCTGATTTAATAAAAACTCGCATTGATTCCTTTGTGTCGGCCTGCAGTTGGATACACAATGAATGATCTGATTTTTGAGTGGCTGGATGGAGAGCCCGTGCAGGTCGCAGAAGGACTGACACTTCCACAGTTTCTTCTCAAGGATGAGAAGGAACTAAAATATTGCACAAAACATTATAATACAGGTGAGTCTGATTTATTTTCAGAACAATAGAATCTGTTAATGGGAACTTATGGTTTGAGGGTTAGAAGTAATCTGGTCAGACTGTCTCATTAAATCATTAACACTAAAGCAGTTAGAATAAAATGGTAAATCCTTTATTTTAGAACAATACAGATAGAAATATCAAACAGAGCAAATCTTCAGTGCTGCTGCTGCTCGTCATCATTTCTGGAGGAACTCTTAGCTTCCCAGAAGCAAAATTATTCTTTACTGCACGTCTCCTGTTGTACAGTTAAATAATTCCTAATAAAACTGGAATGGATTTTCCAAATTAACACTGTGACAACGTAATCCAAGTGAATAGCAAGTTTAGATATTAGATGCCTACACTGCACAATTTCCCTTCCATTAAACTGAATGGACAGAAATTCATGACTGTCAGTCCTCGAAATGCACTCTCATTGCATGAAAGCAACTAATCATCAAATCTATTCCTTTTCCTTCAAATGTTGTGGTTAAACTGTTTATTTATTGTATTATTCCCTGGGGCTGAACTTCACTCTCCAATCCCACAGAAATAACGGGAACATGATAGGGTGAGGCCTATTTACCATCTCCCCACCCTGACCTTGCCCTCATGCCTGTGGGAAAACTGCTTATCACTAAATGCCTTCCTCATAGCAATGTCCAAAGAGGATGAGAATCCAGAACCTGATCTCCCATTCTGTTTCCTCCCGCTATCCCTTGTTGCTACATCTCGGGTAAATGAGCGAGTCTCCCGAAAATACAGCAATAGAGAGAGGGGAGCAATAAGAGGATTCCTGGCCTTGAGTTTTGGCTTATTTGCCTGGACTCAGGTCTTCAGCAGCTATAGCTCACGGCATCTTTATGGTTCATCTGCTCCTCACCACCTCCTGTGACGCTGCAATGCTGCTAGTTTCATCACGAACACCAATGGACTCTCTCTCTTTCTGGCAGACAACCTGCTGTGCATGGGGATTGAGAAACAAACCAGGTAAATGGGCCCGGACTGGAACAGTGTTGAAGACATAGGTGGATGGGCATTCCACTGGAACCACCATCCTAAGGAAAACGCAGCCCCATATCTCCTGCACTGATCATTATAATATTTATTTCTCCCTCAGTTTATAACTAGTTTTCTGTTCAGCTGTACGTCAGATCAAATGCTTTAACTCTATTGGTGCTGTAATTCTGATTATTCAGCTAGCTGGCCACTTATTCATTTGCTATTAATGGGTCCTATGTACAGATTTGCTAGTATTTTGCATATCTAACAACAGTGACTGCATTTCAATATTAATCCACTGGATCTGGTAAAATGCCATATCATGATGTGACTAGTTATTAAATAAATGTAACTTCTTTCTACTTCCTGAATTATTTTAAACAATACTTTCAAGCATTGACATTTGCAATAACTGTCTATTCAGTGTTGTTTACTGAAAGTAGTTAAGGTAACAATTGTATAGCAATGGTCTCTCTTGAAATGTACCTATGCTTGGAGCCTTCAGGGCAGAATGAATACATATAAAATCAAATGATTCTTAAAGGACCCTCTGGAAACAAAGCAATGCCAGACATAAATATGAACAAGTGTCACCTGCAGTGTAGGTTACTAGTGCCCACAATGTTTTTTCTCTAGCCAGGTACTACTAAAGATTTTAGATCAATAGATATGATGATTTTCCCAAACAGTGGAAACAATAAAAGATCTGAATATTAACATTGCAATATTAAAACAATTGTCAAGCAGTTTGGCTAGATGTGGAGTACAAGTCTTCAGGTGTGATTTCGTGTGGTTATTGTGCTATAAGAATGTTGTTTGTGTTGAGTCTGTTACCTGTGTAAATGTGCCTACAAGTAAAGCTAGCTAGCAGTGCATAAATTTTCCAATTCAGATCTCAGTGATTCTTTTTTTAGAAATTTCAAACAGTCACTAATAATGTACTCAAATACTAATGATTCAGACTCATATGCTACCTTTTCTTTAGCGAATCATCTGAACCAGCCATAAACAAACAGACTTGAGAAAAAGGACACTCTTTTACGCATGAGAAGAGCATGCTGATTGGTTGAGCCATCATTGGCGTGAAGGTGCAGCAAAAGCAGTTAACTGTCAATCATAATTCTCAGGCCAGGCAGATAGATTCTGATTGGTCAGGGTGTAAGTTTGACAGTTAATTGCTGTTGCAGCATTGCCATGCCAATGATAGCCCAACCAATCAACACACCTCTTCTCATGTTGTATAAAGTGATGTCCCTTTCTTCACTTCTGCTTCTTGCCTCCTGGTTCTGATGCATGCAAGACAAAAAAAAAAACACCTCTTGACTCTCTTTATCAATTAATCAAATGAATTCTCAACCACCAAATTGGTCCAAATTTCCTTCAGTTCTTTACTTGAGTCACAGATAAATTGACAAATTTGTTGAGTTTGGGTCTATCATAATTTTCCTCTTGCTATCCGCATTCACTGTTTGTGCCTCAGGGTGAACATTTTTTCTTGAAGCTTTTAACCTTGTATGAGCTTCATTCATTGGGGATGAGCTGCCCCCCTCAAAGAGCGATTTTTTTTTTGCCTATTGATGAACATACACAACATGGTGTGACTTCACCAGCCATTGGAAAACAAAATCGGTTGCTACGCAAGTTCAGTCAAATCAGATGCTCAGTAGGTAATTTTAAACCACCAAAGTGAGTGGCTTGGGTTGGGTGGAAAGTTAAAAACAGCAAAAATTTCAACCCCGCCCAGTTTCCTGATGGTGAGGTGAAGGACAAACAACTAACCCACTCGCAGCTGCTGATTTGATCATTGAAAATGGAATACTGTTATTTTAATAAAGTTTTCATTTTCAATACCATTGTTCAGATTTCACTGGCCTTGGGAAATCTGGCAGTTAGGTGAGGGGAGGACAGCTTTGAATCAGAAGGTGCAACCTGTCATCCAGGATGAGCAGGGTGTTTCCTATAGCCTTAAAAAGCTAACCGTGTAAAATTACACCTTAGCCTCCCTCCCTCATACCCCACTGACTCATTGTCTTTCTGACTACGTCTGCTGAATCAGAATCATTTCAACCACCCCAGCCTGATTTCCCCCACAATCCCTTATCTCAGGTGAAGCCCTCCCCAACATGTGATCACTGGCCTGACCTCTATCCAACCAATTTATGCTCCCTCCCAGTGCAATCTCACCCATTGCACCCCATCCACCAGTAAGGTGACCTGCTCCTTGAGTCCTTTCATTCTGACAAATAACCAAACCTCGCAACCTATCAGCCTGGCTATCCCATGGGGAAGCGGTTTGGGGGGTGGGGTGGGGGTGATGGTGGCAGGTGGGGAATAATAATTCAAACAAATCCTAATGCTGAAGCTTTGTGGTATTTGGGGAAATCTATACTTTAGGATTTCCTGACTAGAACTATTCACCTCTGCTTTTAATGCCTGCTCTATTACATATCAGAGAAATATTGGAGAGGATTGACAGACAATCGGGATTTGTATTTTCCACCTTTTCATCCACGTCAGAAAAATGCTGGTAGTAGACAAGTTATAAGTGCACCTGCCTTCATTGAGCTATGAAAATGTTCATGTATGTATTAACTTTTATTTTCTTGCATTAAAAACATGTTGGATATTCTGTTTACTAACCATGACATTCAAAATGATGTGCCCTTTATAGCTTCATTTCCTGAAAGAACTTATTTTTTGTTCTTTAGGTAATGTAGCTTATTCTTCATTTTTCCTCACCCATATATTGCCACATCTATTATGACAATAATGGGAACTGTTTGAGTCTAAATATTATCCTAAATTCTAATACTGTTCAAAATGAGTGGTTAGCACTGTTGCCTCACAGCATCAAGGACCTGGTTCAATTCTAGACTTGGGTGACTGTCTGTGTGGAGATTGAACGTTCTCCCTTTGTCTGAGTAAGTTTCCTCTGACAGTCCAAAGATGTGCTGGTTAGGTGGATTGGCCATGCAAAATCGTCCATCGTGTCCAGGGATGTGCAGGTTAGGTGGATGAGTCATGGTTAATGCAGGGTTATGGGGAGAGGGTGGGAGGAAGCTAGGTCTGGGTGGGATGCTCTTCAGAAGGTCAGTGGGGATTCTATGATATACACTCGAATATCATGAAAGTAATTGCAATACTTTGACTGGTAGCGTTCAATCGTTATTTTGTTGTGATTCATGCTTTAAATTGCTGGTTAGAGACATGGAGCAGTCATTTTTTGTGGAATTTGTCCTGCTGTGCTAATGTGAAGTTTTGTTTTACTGATATTACAAATGGGGAATGTGGGTTACAAACAACTTTTTCTTTAAAAAAAGGCCAGAAGAGGCAATGATAGCTTCCAAAAAGCTGGCAACTTAAATTATTGGCTTTTCTTAATGTGGTGATGAAGATTTATACTGAAAATGCATCAGCATGTGGGCTTGTTTCAATACAAACTGTAGGTATACCCTGTATTTCATTCAGATGAGAAATAGAAAATTTCCAATTTGCAATATTTATGGATTTAAAAGTAGCATAGGAATTGTGAATGCTGAAGGCAGCAAATTTTTGGAGGGTGTATAGTGATTGGTGAGGGTCTGAGATATCTAATGATTTAGAATTGGGGGTCCTGAAAACCATCATTGGGTTCAAGGCCAGGGCCAGAGCGATGATGGCAGGGTTGAGGGGTTATGAGCAGCAATGATGGGGGAAAAGTTGGGAGTACTGATTGGCTCCTTCAACATGCAGTAAGGAGGAGTGGAGATCCTGATTCTAAATTCCAGTACATTACTTGCCTGCCTTCTTGATTCACACAAGGCTTCCAATTTTTGTGAGTTGCAGTCTTTGATAATACTTGCTGTCTCAGGGAAAACTAATGTTGCATTGAGTTCATGACATCAGCAATAGGCCCCAAATTTACTTCTGCTGAAGTATGCATACGAGCCTGAGCTGTAGGCAAAGGATGCCATTTTGTTTGCCTGGATGTAACATGGTGATTGGTGCATCTCCTG